GCTGTTTAATGTCATGCTGTGGAACTTTCTAGGCAGAGCAATGACATATCCATAGAAACACGCAGGTGACGGACCCCCACATAAAAAGTTACACAGTGCAGCTTTAAGAAAACAACAGAAGTGAAAACAAGATGTGAAATAATTACTCTAAAAACACTAAAAATGACTTCAAATTGGCTTCTACATCACAGCCAGAGCTCCTGTCTACTTCTTGGAGATGTGCCAAAAACTTCTGGAATCTCCGAAACTCTCACACGAATGTAAACTTTTCATGTATTAACGTACCCCCCAGACCACCGTAATTAGATACAATTGCGCCAAGACCAGACGAGGGAGGAGGCGCCCGTGGTCCGCATTCAAAGCCGAAAACTGTGCATAATGCCTGGGCTCTCCATGGCAACTCTGGCCCTCCCGGAGCCTTGCGCGCGGATGGAACCACGCCGAGACTTAATGAATTTATTAATTGAGTAAAAAGGAACACCTATTCACGCTCGGTGCGCAGGAGCCCGCCGACACAAAGCCCGCGCGGACGTGTGGCAGACCGGGGTACAATAACTCCGTGGGTCCGCTGGAATGTCTCGGGGGACGGGAGAGTGCCACATGACGGAGACTTCAAATACTTCGCTCCGAGGGGGGAAAAAAAAGTTACATGGTGGTAAAAACATAACAGTGAGCGCGACGGCCAAGCTCCAACAGTGAAAGGAGTCCTGGTGCGTAAAATGTTCAAGCTTAAAGATGAATTGTGTAACTTTTCTGGTGGAAAATGAGGGTTTGTCAGATGATTTTTCTTCGTGGAGATGTTATTACTTTGCCTGGAATGTTACACAATTTAGCGCAGTAATGAAATTAAACCTTTCTATCTTCATGAAGACCAAACCAGACCAAGTTACAGGTCAGATCTGTGGAGAGGCGAGCCCGTTTACAGTCAAAATCCATGTTTTTCTTGGTATTTTCGAGCGATAAAACCGCCTGTGATTGAATAAAGGTAAGGTAGACCTGCTTAAAGTCATGCTCTGGGACATTTCAGGCAGAGTAATGACATATCCATAGAAACAAACAGGTGACAGAACCCCAACCACAAATCGGACCAAGTTACAGGTCAGATCTGTGGAGAGGCGACGCCGCTCACAGTCAAAATGTGTGTTTTTCTAAGCATTTTTGAGCTATAAAACCACCTGTGATCAAGTAAACGTACGGTAGACCTGCTTAAAGTCATGCTGTGGGACATTCCAGGCAGTGCAATGACACATCCATAGAAACAAGAAGGTGAGAGAGACCCTCAACCAAAAAGTTACACAGTGCACCTTTAATCTACAACCCCCCCAAAAATTGTAGATTTGTTAAATTTGAAGTACAATTTGAAGAAACAAAAACTCTAGTGGAATCCGGTGTAGCTTCAATTCCAACAAAAGTATTCGACTACTCCACTTTTCACAAGATAAAACTAGAATAAACTTGATTAAGTAACGAAATTAAGTAGAATAATGTTGTTTACATCTTGTCTATCAATTCCAATTCGAAACTTCCGTGCGTAATGGCTCTGTGATTCCTCAGTCGTTCAGACACGAACCAGAGTTTGGAGAATTTAGCTATTCCGTGCGTAATGTTTTGGCACAAAGTTGGAAAAAAAAAAAAAAAAAAAGGTTTGCATCCGTGCCAAAAACACGATCTTACAGCCTGTGCGTAAATCCGTTACATGTCGTCTTTGATGTCACTGCAACTGCATCCTTTCCACACACGGGCAAACACTCAATCCTTACTTGAATTTCATAAACATATTTCAAAGTTTGTGTGTAAGCGACGTGCGTTCTTAACTATTCGTTTTAAACGCGATACGGCGTGTTTATTGACCTCACAATTTCATATCGTGCAAGTCCACCGCGCTCAAAATATTCCCGTATGTCATGGCCACAAACTCGTGCCCAAAGTTTTCAGTGGCACGCGAAAGGATAGAAGAATTACGCGAAACAGCCATATCCATCCTCCCATCCACTTTTACGTGCAAATTTCAGCTTCACATTAGCGCAAAACGTAAACTATCCTGTCATAATGATGTATGCTTTGAATGAAACCACAAATTCCACCAGTGTTCGGCAACTCGCACGCTGCAAACGCGTAAAAGCAGCCCGTCCATCGCTTTCGGAGTGATGGACGTGGTGATTAACAACTTAAAACTAAATCTTAATGCTTAAAAAGTGGTCAGGTTTTGCATGTAAAGTCGTAACACAACAAACTTACATTCATACGCTCCGCTCGTTCGCTGCGAAACCGATTCCACGTTCATCAAAGTTATCCGCAAAAAAAAAAAAAAAAAAAATCTCTTGAGCGCGGTATTCCGTTAGAAAAGCAAAGTAGCGGTAACTTCCATGTCCGAGTGCAACCTCCTCCTGCGTAAATCCACTAAACTCTCCTCCGTGCCCAATGCGCAAAAGAGGAAAAACTGCTGCAAAAGTCTTAAAAGTCCTCTGCGTAAACTTCCCAACGCAACGCTGTCCGCTGATCGTGGCTCAAGCGAAGAGTGAACGGTCCATGCGAGGGGCCGTCTTCTCCGCTGCGAATGTGATTACCGAACACGTGACGAGACGAGAGAGCGACACAGAGAGAGGGGAAAAGATCCACAACATCAACCAGGCGGGCTGTTCTCTCTCTCTCTTTCTCCCTCTCGCTGCCGGCGCTGCTGCTGCTGCTGCTGCTGCTTGTGCCGGGGTGGTGTGGATGTGGCCGGGAGGGAAGAGGGAAAAGGCAAGAGGAGGAGGAGGAGGTGAAGGGTTTGGAGGAGTTGCCACATGGAGCAGAGGAGAGCGCACGGAGCACTGGCAGCGGGCGTGCGTAAAAAGGTGAGCTCTGGTGCCACCATGCTTTCCAAACGGGTAGTGTAGTGAAATAATCGGCAATCATGACATGCACTGAAGAAAAAAAAACAAAAAAACTGAAATATTGAAAGCTGTTGCATGCAATAAAATTATGTTTAGGGTTTGAAACTTTAAAGGTTGTATGGAGGATTTTTTTTCAGTTTCAAATTGTCAATGAAAGTTTAAAATACCGTTACAGAGACGCAGCAGCTTTGTAATTATGATGATCAAAAAAAAAAAAAAGAAAATCTATCAACTGTGGACGTGTTGAGGCCAGATAAACATCAGCCAATAGAAAACGAGGCTGCCTCATTTTCTATTGGCTGTCAATCAAACTTCCTACGTTTCTAGTGTAACTGACTCACCGGCGCGTTGAGATTACGTGGTTTATGCGGTGGTTCTTTGAGGCTTTTTCAAACCGTCGCTTCCTCGCAATTCGCACAAAGTTTGTTGCGATGGCGGATGAGAATCCACGACCAGTTCACCGTGAAAGAAAGTCCGTTTTTGAGGTCGCTGAAAGAAGAAGAGAAGGGGGAAAAGGAGCGAAGACAAACTGAGGTGATTCTTGGAGATTCCTTCCAGCGATGGCGCGACTGAAGCAGACGAAGGGTCTAAAAACTGACGCGCCTGTCGATAAATGACTTCTAGACAGGTCACTTCAACAGTAATTCTGAACACACGCTGGATGTAAACAAACGTGATTTCTAGAGTAAAAAGGAGGGAGGAGGTGTTTCTACTGAGGGAGCTGTGGAGGAGGAAGGTGGTGTCGCGCATGCACAACATTTGAAAAAGGACTGTCGCTGTATTTCACTTCCCTTAAAAAATCCTCTATACAACCTTTAACTTTAACCTTCTCAGAACATAAAACGGTGGCCACACGCTTGGAAGCCGCCACGTTGTTTATCTATTCATGCTTGGTCATTAATGTTTTTGGATAGAGTCCAGCTAGAACTCTCTCAAACCAGGGTGCACAGGGCCAAGAGTGACACAGTTACCCTATGACATGTTTTCATTAAGCGTCTCCAACAATTTTGTAGCAGACCTTTTCTTGGGTGAGGCTTTGGACTGGGGTGGGAGGTTGTTTTTTTTGTATTTAAAGAAAAAAAAAAGGTTGGATTGCAGCAATAAAAGTGACTATGTATGTGTATAAGCTGTACTCATGTGATTATTTCAAGAATTTCAGAGCTCATTAATGTACAGTCAATGTGATTAAGCTGCAGTTTAATAAAAATAAAAGTTTATCACAAAAAAAAGTTTATCAGAACATGAACGTCACTTTTTCATGTTGATAAAATGTGATCAAATCGTGCCACACATAACATATTTATCTTACGTTACCTTATCATGAAAATTTTCCTTTTTTACAGTTTTATTTTTTATGCTTAATTTAATTCTGTCTTCAGAGTTATTTTATCATGCAACGTCAAATGTCCTTAAAGCAGAAATCTCCAACCTTTTCTTTACAAAATGAAAACGCCGGAGAGCTACTCATTTTAGCTTTTGCAAGAAATTGATTCGATATAAGATTGCAGTCCTTAGATGCCTATAAAATATTAAACCAATATCCATTTATTAGAGCGCAAAGTTCAAAATAACACTTTTACAGTGGTAATTAATCAGATTTGAGTTATTTAGTACAATATATAATTCAGAAATCCTTTGGCGAGGGGGTGGAGAGCTACTGGTTGCTTCCAAGCTACAAGTTGGAGACCCTAGCTTGGGTTTTAAAGTAAAAGAACACAAAATGTTTTTAGTTTTCCGCAGTTTTTTATTGTCTTAAACAGAATCAAACACATGGAGAGCACAGATGCAGTCAAAAACAGTCTATTTGGAGCTAAGAAGTTAATAATAGGGGTGTAACAATATCCAAATTTCACCATGCACTGAAAAAAAAAGTTGCTGGATTTGCGTAAAAAGTTATGGACAGCGGTTGCACGCAATAAAATTATGTTTAGGCTTTGAATCTTTTTTCGAACCCCTCTACACATATTTTTCTCGGAACATGAACATCACTTTTTCATGTTGATGAAATTTGAACAAATCATGCTGAATATGCATATTTATCTTATGGTACCTTATCATGAAATGTATAAGTATGTATAATGTAATTTAATTTATCTAATTCTGTAAAAGAATACAAAAACAGTCTTTAGTTTTCTACAGATCTGTATTGTCTTAAACAGAATCAAACACAAAGAGAGCACAGGGACAGAGACACACAGTTTGGAGCTGGACAGTGTGAAGATTTATTCCAGTGAAGAAGCTCTGGTCTCTGCCTGTGGACACAGAATAACACATGATGATCACATTCTGATGATCTACTCTGTTGTACATGTTTAAATACACTTATAGCAATTATTACTACAATAATGGACCAGAACAGAAGAACAAGAACATTAGAAGTGTATCTGCAGAAACAAAACTCACCATGTGCTGCTTTTCTTCCTCTAAACACAGTAACAGGGAGGGCATCTGGTATAAAGTCTCCTAATGCCACATCACCTTGTACAAGTACGATAACTGTTTCAATAGGAAGTTCATTTTGAAAAAAATTTAAAATAATTTTAGTTGGTTTACTTACTTTGTTCATCTGTGGTCTGTGTTTTGTTGATTCTCAAACATCTTCCTTTTTTCTGAAACATCAGCTGTAACATTCATGAACTTCCCCACAGCTCCAGCAGAGCTCTGGACGTCACTCTTGTTTGTAGACGACTCTGGAAGCAAAACACATTCAAATCTTAGTACAAGTGTCACACTCTTGTAGATGGACAGTCAAAAACAATTTGTTTCAAGCTGTCCTTACATTAACTCTAATTTCAAATAAAACAACACAAACATGTTTTAACAATGACGACATTCTAGGCCGGAGAAGCACATAATAAAATCTTTGAAAAGTCTCACCTCCAGATCAGCTCTGATAATCCTCCTGCTCCACACTGTGTGTCTCTGCTCCTGGAACTGTCCTGTGTCCTGTTACATTTGAATTTTCCCTCCAAAAGTTTTGGGGAGGAGAATTCCAGAGGGAGGAGCCTCACCAGAGATTATAATAAAGTCATGTTTCCTCAACCTGATTAAAACATGCAGGTCTCACATCGGCCACAATCAAGCGATGTTTGTAAGATTTAAACATGCTTGACAGAGAAACATAAAAAAGTGATGTTATTGTTGTCAAATTTGTTTTTGCAATTTGAGCAACCCCTCTCGGACCGTTTTTTCAGTGTACGATTTCGTCACTGTATGAACCTCACGGTATGATATTTATTGCGATATCTTGGCCTAAACCACTAAGCCCCAGACAGGTAAATTTAAACTTTTAAAAACTACTAAATATAGGATTATACGATTTACAACTATTTACATTTCATAAACTAATATTGCACTTTGTGACATCAGGATTATCAGTTTTTCACTATTATTTCATGTATTAGTTAGATAGTTAAAACCATTTGACAGTTAAACCTCCCCTCCCCCAGCAGCACTTGGCAGAGTCCAAATCAGGGCGATGGGGTGCACCGGGCCTGCACTGATAAGGGCGCGCCTCCAAATCAGCGCCTCCACCAATCACCTCAAAGGAAAGGAAAAAAAGGAGTGAAACAGGGAAAATGAACATGGCATCAAATGAATATAACCAGAAAACATGAAGGTAATGAGAGGGTGTGGTCTAAGCTCCCTCAAGTGGGAACTTAAAAGTATGACTGCATTAGAACTATTTTGTGGAGGCGAACTGTCAATCACTACTTTCTCTTCTTATGTACAAGACTCAAAACTGCTTAAAAGCTTAACTGTTATTTCTTTTTGTAGTCTGCACTGAAATGGAGCAAAGGATCATGGTCTATGTAGTTCTGTCTTTTTTTTTTTTTTACTATTGCTGCACCGTAACTCTTAATTTAAGCAAAGAGACTTATAATTCGATATATTGTGATGGTCCAAGATATTATTGTGAGAACTTTGACAATGCGATATCATGATATTTCTGTTATTGTTACTGCCCTAGTTTTAAAGTGAAATAATACCAAAACAGTCTTTAGTTTTTCGCAGTTTTGTATTCTCTTAAACCAGGGGTCTCCACCGTCTTACAAGTCGCTCGCCAAGGGATTTCTGAATTATACATATTGCGCTGAATAACTCAAATTTGATTGATTATCGTTGTAAAAGTGTAATTTTGAACTTTGTGCTCTAATAAAATAGATAATGATTTTAGGTTTTATGGGCATCTGACTGTACAGCACTAAGGCTTGCAGTCTTATATATATCGACTCAGATTCTTGCGATCGCTAAAATGAGTAGTTCTCCAGCATTTTCATTTTGTAAAGGTAACTCACCAGACGCAAAAGGCTGGAGATCCCCTGTCTTAAACAGAATCAAACACAAAAAGAGCACAGGTACAGTGAAAAACAGTTTGGAGCTTAGAACCTTTAATAATAATAATAATAATCGTAATCATAATGCATCAGTTTTATATAGAGCTCTGGACACGCAAAGACGCTTTACAGATCATTATTCATCCAGTGCACGACTTTTCCAGTGAAGAAGCTCTGGTCTGTGCCCGTGGAAACAGGAATAACACATGATTTCATTATGATTATCTACAGTCCCTGACAAAAGTCTTGTCGCTTATCCATTTTGTAGAAACAAAAGCTTATAACTTGACTTTAAATTAATCGATTGGTTTTAGAAATGTCTCATATGAAAGCTAAAACCCTCCCAAATTATGCTCAATAAACTAAAATAAATTTGCTTCACTGAAAAAAGATTGATCATTTAATGAACACAGAAAGGTCAGATTTTGGCAAGACAAAAGTTTTGTCGCCTACAGAAAATTGAACAAATAATTTACTTCAAATACAAAAATATGTTGCATAACGTCAGTGAATTAAGTAGTGGTGCTGTGAGATCCATATTTAATATCTTGTATGACGTCCATGAGCTTGAAGGACGCATCCATGCGGTTTGACAATGATTCATACAATTTGTTGATGAAGTCATCAGGAATAGCAAAGAAAGCGTCTTACATGCCTCCCAGAGTTCATCAAGATTCTTTGGTTTTGCCTCCATGCTTCCTCTTTCATTCTACCCCAGACATGCTCAATGATGTTCATGTCTGGTGACTGGGCTGGCCAGTCCTGGAGCACCTTGATCTTCTTCGCCTTGAGAAACTTTGATGTAGAGATAGAAGTATGTGATGGAGCACCATCCTGCTGCAAAATTTGACCCCTTTTATGGTTGGGAATGTAAGAGGAGCTAATACTTCTTGATATTTTAGGTTATTGATATTTGCCTTCCACCCTGCAAATGTCTCACACACCCCCATACTGGATGGAACCCCAGACCATGATTTTTCCGCCACCAAACTTAACTGTTTTCTGGGTGAATCTTGGATCCATGTAGGCTCCAGTAGGTCTCCTGCAATATTTGTGGCGGCTGTGATGTAATTCAACTGAGGATTCATCTGAGAAATCCACCTTCTGCCACTTTTCCAGTGTCCATCCTTTTAGCAGGCTGTGGGCCTTGGCAAATGCCACACGGTTTTTTAATTGCCTTTTGTTTAGTGCTGGTTTCTGTGCACTGATTCGACCATGGAGGCCATTTCGAGACAGAATTCTACAAACTGTTGTGGTTGACACAGGGACTTGAGGTGACCAGGCCTGGTGGAGTCTGCTGCAGTGGAAAAGTGTCTGGCCGTGGATTTTCGAATCAAACAAACGGTCCTCCCGAGCAGTTGTCTTGCGGGTCTGCCGGACCTGGGCTTGTCAAAAACATCTCCAGTCATTTCAGATCTTTTTCTTATTCTTTGTACTTGACGCTGAGACACATTGAAGGTGTCACCACCTCAGCAGTGGATCTGGTCTTCAGCCTCTTGATAATTAACGCTTTGGTCTCAGGGTGGATCTTAGGCATGTTGTCAGAGGTCAAGTTGCAGTTGATGTGAAGGTCTGGTGTGCTGGGTTCTTTTTATACACACCCACTAACTGACTGATCAGTAACTGACCACAGGTGAGGCTGTAATCTAGGATTGGGTGCATCATATGACAAGGCGACAAGACTTTTGTCTTGCCAAAATCTGACCTTTCTGTGTTCATTAAATGATCAATCTTTTTTCAGTGAAGCAAATTTTTTTTTAGTTTATTGAGCATAATTTGGGAGGGTTTTAGCTTTCATATGAGACATTTCTAAAACCAATCGATTAATTTAAAGTCAGGTTATAAGCTTTTGTTTCTACAAAATGGATAAGCGATAAGACTTTTGTCAGGGACTGTACTTTGCTTTGTACATGTGTAAATATAGATCAAGCACCTATTATTCTATTATAGTTGAAGCACCTGTTATTATCTTATACAATAATACCAGAACCTATTCACAGTGAACATTACAATTGTACAGCAGAAACAATATTGTCCATGTGCTGCTTTTCTTCTTCAATACGCAGGAACAGGCAGGGCATCTGGTACAAAGTCACATCACTCTGTAGTTCACTAGTACAGTATATGATGAAAAAATATAATTCGGTTAAAATCATTTTTGTTGGTTTACTTGCTTTGTTTTAGCCAGGCTGGTGTCACCTAGTGCCTCCGCTCAATTTCATTTCATTTCAGGATTTAAAGCCGGAACAAAGAGAATGTTTGGCGAATTTTATCAAGGGGAAAGACGTTATTGCCCTTCTTCTTCCTACGGGATTTGGGAAAAGCTTAATATACCAGATAGTCCCGTTAGTGGCGCAAAACATACGTCACGACCAAATAGCAACGATTGGTTAAATTATAAAATGTAAAAAACTACTACAACTACTACAACTACTACAACACCTACAACTGCTTCTACAACTGCTACAACTACTACAACTACTACTACTACTGCTACTACAAATACTACTACTACTACTACTACAACAACTAATACAACTACTACTACAACTACTACCACAACTACTACTACTACTACTACTACAACTACTAGAACTATTACAACTACTACAAAAACTACTACTACTACTACAACTGCTACAAAAACTACTACTACTACCACAACTACTACAGCTACTACAACTACCACTACAACTACTACAACTACCACTACAACTACTACAACTACTACTACTACAGCTACCACTACTACTACTGCAACTACTACTACTACTACTACTACAACAACTACTACAACAACTAGAACTATTACAACTACTACTACAACTACTACAAAAACTACTACTACAACAACTACTACTACTACAACTACAACTACTGCAACTACTACTACAGCTACTACAACTACTACAACAACTAGAACTACTACAACTACTACAACTACCACTACATCTACTACTGCAACTACTACTACTACTACTACAACTACTACAACAACTAGAACTATTACAACTACTACAACTACTACAACTACCACTACAACTACCACAACTACACTACAACTACTACTACAACTACTACTACAACTACTACCACAACTACTACTGCAATTACTACTACTAAGACTACAACTACTACAACAACTAGAACTATTACAACTACTACTATAACTACTACAAAACTACTACTACTACTACTGCTACAACTACAACTACTACTACTAAACTCATCGTTATTTCTAGAGCACTTTAAAAACAACACAGTCGACCAGTGTAGTGTAAACAAATTAAACAGGACACATAACAAACTGTGACAAATGGTAAAAGCTCAAACTGAGTT